CGCCTCAAATTGCATCAAAAGTGACATCCGTGTCTTAATTCGATTGTATTTACTCTTTTAAAAAGATTTGCGGACTTTACGTCCGCCATCTTGGATTCCTCTCGCTGCTGCATGAGAGAAGCTTGAGAAGGCAGTGCAAACCCCACGTAACACCGGCAATCCTGATTGGTCAATAAAAAAATAATCTGGGGAAGGCGTTCGCTATGGCGTCGATACTAGACCCATGTGGTTCAGTCAAACGCCTCTGGTGGAGCATGGCGGAACTACAAGGGTCTGGCAGAGCCAGGCTAACACAACGCATGATCCGGTCTGAACGCGGCATAACTCTTACGTTTTCACCCCCCTAGAACACAGTCTCCATATGAATGGGGGTACCAACACCCAACTATAGCGTTTTACTGCCACAGCTCTCTGTCTAAACGGTCATCCTGAACTTTTTTTCTTCTTAAATCCACACTTTAGTGCCACAAACTATGCTCGTTTGGCACCAGCTCTAACTCCCGCTCTAGCTTTGCTCTGATCAGCAGCACTGATTGGTCGGAGCGCGGCCGACCAATGAACGAGCCCCCACGTTCATGAGAGCCACACACGTGTATTTGGCGCAACGCATCATGGGAGCTTGTCCACTGCGCAGAACCAGGAGGACCAGACGATGCTCAAATATAGGCGAGTTCCGCTAATCTTTCGCTGCCCATGCTGGCACATGCGCCACTGAGCACAAACCATTCATTTGAATACGGTGCCATCTTGGATCACCGGGGCTTGCCCGGCAGTTAGAGCTCTCGTCTCTTGCCTCCGAAGATTTACATTTATAATATTTACATTTGTTAAAAGAACCACAGACGAACACAAAACCTTCCTCAAATATAACACCGGATAGGTGTTCATAATCCACTTCTTTCCTCCTTTAAAATAAACCTATTCTCCTCAATATTGATAATATACATAATAGATAGATAGATAGAGAGATAGAGAGAGAGAACCAGAGAGAGAGAGAGAGAACCAGAGAGAACCCATATCGTTCTAGCTAAACTCTGAACCACTGATCTCGTTCCCCAACAGCCACACAAGACTACAGCAAAGAGCATGTACCAGAGAGATTAGAAAGAGATCATTTATACACATCCTGACAAACTGATGTGCTATGGAGCTTTAATGAAAATACGACAAGTGCTGAAAAAGAAGTGGAAGACTGGGGCAGTGTAGCCTTAGCATACTCAAGCATCTTTGGCGTAAAATGAAACAGGAGCAGCTTTAGGTGGTATTGGCCAGGACAATAAAAGCATGCTTTGGAGAGGCAGCCGTCTCTAAACATGGTGGATTTAGGCTTTGTATTCAATGCACTGGGTACACAGAGGGGATTGCTACCCCAGGGCATTTACAAGAATGCTTTAGAACATGTCTATAAACTGCCTATTCTGAAGTGGCCTCAAAGAGCAGCTTGGCAACTCTTGAAAGGGTTATTTTTAACCTTGCAATAGTTAAAGCAGACGAGCAGGTGAGAGATCAGGACCCTTTGTTTCTAGGACGGCTAAGCTTGTGCCAGAGTGGCCTAATGAATAAGCCATTGGAGTGATCTTTGCTAGTGCAAGGATGGCATGGTTGTGCTGGACTTTCTTGCCACTCTTGACAGACTGAAGTGTGCCATTTATTATTTAAGATGATCTGTGTTGAGTTTTAATGGGAGGAAGAGGTTGTGTGTCAAATCTGGTTTCTGTTTAAGTCGTCCATCCTCTGGTTAAGCTTGTCTATCAGCTTGTTTACTGGATTAAACCCAAACAGCTGTCTTAGTGGTGGTTTCTGTCCCAAATACCCTACATCGGTTTTCACTTTGCACAAGAACATATTTAGAAATCTGCAATATCCGGTAGGATTTGGCATAAATTTTGGAGTAAACGCAAGGAAATATGGTTGAATTTCCTTCCCAGATGCATTATTGTTTGTACTTGTACAAAAAATATTGCATCTGGTTGTTGAATAAGCAAAGCAAAAAATTGTAAATCTTTCTAAAGATAAAAATAGAAAAGAAAAAAAGATGTACACTCACCATGACCAAAGCACAATAATAAAAACATATCAAAGAAATATGAAGTTTTTATTCCAATGATTGATAGCGCTCTCCTAAGAAAGCTCCACTGACTACGTCCCTGTAACTACACATACATGCTCACATACCAGCTGTGCGTAACCACAAGGATGACCACACCGCCAACTGGGGCGCTGGCTCAGCGTTTATCAATAGAGAAGCCTTTCAAACGTGACTGTGCATGTTTAGCTTTTTATGATAGCTCCACTTATACTGGGAGAGTCATTTGCTCATCAGGCTTGTATGTCACGTCTCTGTACCTGATCAGGTCAAACGCAAGGTTTTCCAAAGTAAATTTGAATGCATTATTTGAGCAAACTGCCTATGTCTCATTCCAGTTTGTCCTCAGTGCATCAGATGAGACTTAAAACATTTATAAAAAGACCAATGAGTTAAAACTAAAGGGACACATAACGTAAGTATACCGGTAGCCTTTACAATAGATGAATTTGTATTTTTAAAATAAGGCACATGATGGCCACATTGTTTATTGTGATTATCTGGTAGAAAGCAGAGTCTCTCAGTTGGGTTGCCAGTTTATTTAGTAAAATCCACCTCCTGGAGCACATCAGTAATCAGAGTTGGAGCAGCTAGGAGCTGTGTGTACACTACAGGCACACTGGCAACACATTTTTATGATATTATGAGAAGGGCTGCGACTAACAATTATTCATAATAATTATCAAAATTATTATGAATTTTGATAATCAATTCATCTGGTAATTATTCCTTAGAATAAATGAATCTGCTAAAGGCCAATACATGTTCTGTTTCTATAAAGAAATTATTATTTTGTCATTACATTGATATATTAGCGCTTTTCTTGTTTATTTTTTGACAGCGCTGTTTGAGTCTTAAAATCACACCTCAGATGGCGTAGAGCATGATTAAACGATTACTAAAATAGTTTATTAGTCTATTTGAGTTATTATTGAAATAACTCAAATAGTTGTCATTAATCAGTTAATCGTTAAATTCTAATTTGAATTTTGTAGTTTCCTTTTACACCAGTAAGAGCATTAATGACAGACTGTTCCTGAACAAATAACAGCAAAGGAATCTGTACCAAACTGTAGAAGCCAGTTGTACTTGGGCCATTGTCTGGGAAACACTGTCTACTCTACACCAATTGGCTGAAATGCATGAACACAGAAACAGTAAAGCACAAAGGCTCATACATTCCAACTACACGTGATTCACCAGGAATGCACAGTCCCTTGTCACACCACACTTCTGATTAATGAAAAATGAGAGGATATCCAACTTTATTGCTGCAGTTATGGATACATTATTCACAATTTTCAGCCTAAGCCTTTTGCATAATAGTAGACAAACCACATTTTGGATTTTAATTTTGTTGTTAATACTAATGTTTTGTGTGTATATAACTGTTCTTTGTTGTTGACTAAAGAGCAAACAAATGAATAAACTAACTTAACAAATATTACTGTCTCAACGACTAAACGAAAACTTGTTTTCCTGTAAGTCATCAAAACTGACATACGCTTCATATAATCCAGTAATGCCCATACAATAACACCACACAAACCGGTAAAACTCTGAGAAACATGAAACAGACAACTCTCTCCCTCACTCCCAGGCCACTATGGTCCATCTATGGTCTCCTAGCAACGCCCGAGGCAAATCAATGTGTGTGTGTGTGTGTGTGTGTGTGTGTGTGTGTGTGTGTATGTGTGTGTGTCTGTGTGTGTGTGTGTATAAAAGAGAGTGAGATAAATGATGGTGGGAGGTAATGTAAAGTAAACCAGACCACTGTAATTGAGACCTAGGTTACGCATAGGACCATCAAAGTCAATAGAGCCAACACAAAGGGCCAACTCATCACTGAAACAAAAATCCTATGGCTCAGGTTAAGCCTATTTAAGATTTTATGTTAAAATTGAGAGACTAGAGTAATCATCATTATTTATTATCTTATAATATGTATGTATCTAGTTTGAGTCCTTCTGCCCCCACAGACCTGTAACAACAATGTCACTGAATAAAGGTTATCTCATCTGCTCTTCACTTTTATCCATTTCCAATAAATGGGAACGGCAACCCTAACCGTATTTAAGGCATATATATAAACACATACATACAAACATACATATATAAATATATACAACTTAAACATGTAATTTCTCGTTTGTTTTCTTTTTGGAAATAGACCGACTTAACTGAGTGACAAATACTGTCACTCAGTTATAATTTGGCCGTTATATGATAATGTTGTAGATAATAGTAGTTCTATGATGTAGACCAGTGTCTCCCAAAGTGGGGTCCGCGGCCCCCTGGTGGGCCGCGAGGGTACTGCAGAGGGGCCGCGGGAGGTCATAAAAAATAATAAAAAAATAATATAATTATTTGATGTTAAATTTATAATGTTTTGTTTGTAATATTAAAATATTTGTGTTCATTATTTGACTTGAATAATCCACTGTAATCATTTTTGTATTACAATGTTTGTAGCAGAGGCTATTTCCCCAAAATAAAATAACCAGAAGAGCCTATTCTTAATGTTGTATTCTTGGTTATTATTTTGGGGGGCCACGCAGACCCGTCAGATTTTTAAGGGGGCCTCGGTGTTACTGAGTTTGGGAATGGCTGATGTAGACCATAGACTGTAAATATTAAGACACAGACAGCCTTTGATGTGATTCAACAGTCACCAAGGCCTGGACCCCACATTGTGAACCTCAGAATTCGTGAACAGTACGCAAATGGCTATTACTTTTTACGACACAACGAGGCCTTGGACTGAAACGAGAAGAAGTGTCTACAGATCAGGCACAGAGCATCTTTTCAGGCATGAGAACAAACGCTCATCGCCTCTATCAACAGCTGAAACCGAACATAGTAATGCCTTTAAGCAAGCGGCATGACTGAACAAAGACATGAGGAGGATTCTTACCTTGTGGTGGTGGTAGTAGTGAACATATTCCTCTCAGGATATCTGGTTTTCATCTACAACCGGTGCTTTCTAATCTCGCAGCCCTTTAGTGGCATCGTTCATGGCTCAGGCACGTTGTCTGAATAGGAATGCATGTGGTGCTGTCTCCGCTCCAATAAATCTATAGTTCAGTCGGTATGAAACAATACACACACTGTACGGCACAGCTGCTACGATAAGCGAAACGGTACGAAGCTCTTGTGGTATTTATCTGTCTTACTGATAGATGCGCGGATGTTGTGAAGAGGCAGCTCAGTGGACGGAGACGGGGCGAGCGTGAAGCCAAGAGGCGGTGCGTCATCTGGATCGTCCTGAAAGACCCCGGACGAGAGAGCCACCAGCGCGCTGCCATTCATTCCCCTGGATCTTACACGCTGTAAAATAAAATAAAAAAAATCACAAGTTAACTTCATCCGCTCCTATCAAAAGTATGTTTGTATCATTGTTACTGCATGTGTAACACTTTTAGTTTTTCCACATATAAAGGTGTGTCATTTTTTATGGGTGGCTTTTACAGAAATTATGATAATAAATTAAAAAAAATACTATATTTTATCAGAAGGGTCATTTTGTTGTTGTTATTTTCTCTCCCCTTTTAGATATTGTTACTGCACCATATCAACGGAATCAAAATTTAAATATAAAGAAGAAAGAAGAATCTGCTTGTGGGTATGGGTTTTTTTCTGTCTTTGTCATAGAGTGTATTTGTCGACATCTGCTGGAGAGTATCCAGTAGAACAGTCATATTTTTGAACAGGCATTGTAACAGCCCTCCACAGCTGAAGTGCAAGGACCGCAAACAAATCGTCTCCCGGTCGTCACTCTTTGAAATGTTAGGAGGATTTTAACAAAACCATCCGATCTAAATCTAAAGCATCACAGCGGTAATTCTTTTGTTCTACGTTTGTGTTGTTGTTCTGTACCAGTACACATAATCTGAGCATCATTTAACAATGAAAATGATAAACGAAAGCATAAAAAGTGCCAGTTAATCGGCACTTTGTATGAATGACTCTTTCCGGCTTCAAAGCTTCGGATCATATTTCTGCTGTTTCTTCTTTTTATATATATGAGTATACCAACAGTATTTCTATTGTAGGGCATTTTAAGATTCATGTGTTTTTGGCGAATGCTACTTAGCATTTTGTAATAACATTGTGTTCTTTCAGAAGCTATCGCGTTAGCTTAGCAAACTGCTTAACGTTATATGCTGTATTCTCAGTGGTACAAATCTATGGGCCACAACCAAGTCTTGTACTTACCGGTTATTTAAATAAACGATAATATAAGTGTTCACTGAGTGTTAGAAATGATCGTCCTCTCTTTTTAGTGAGTTCTACCTGACGCGGAGCCATGTTTCTATACAACATTACCCTCCAGAGGGCTACTGGCATCACTCATGCCATCCATGGAAACTTTTCAGGTAAAACCTAATTATAAAAGACTGTGCAATAGTTAGATCTGTGAGTTAAAATGAAAACCTTTGTTTACACAGGAACTAAGATGCAGGAGATTGTTGTGTCCCGGGGGAAAATCTTGGAGTTATTAAGACCAGATGCAAACACTGGGAAGGTGCACACTTTGCTCACTGTAGAAGTGTTTGGTATTGTCAGGTCTTTGATGGCATTCAGATTAACAGGAGGGACAAAAGGTACAAATCTTCATTGCTTGCGTTTGTTTATATTTGATTGAGTTTTTGGTTGTCATACGTTGACATTTTTTTCACTTGTTTTTAGATTACATTGTTGTTGGAAGTGACAGTGGTCGCATTGTGATTTTGGAGTACCATCCTTCAAAGAACATTTTTGAGAAGATCCACCAAGAAACGTTTGGCAAGAGTGGGTGCAGACGCATTGTCCCTGGACAGTTCCTTGCTGTTGACCCAAAAGGCAGGGCAGTTATGATTGGTATGATATTTAAATGTTTTAAGTTCTAGAAAAAGGATGATCAAGATGTTTTGATACATGTCACGTATCCATTGTTTTTTATTTTCAGGCGCCACAGAAAAACAAAAGTTGGTTTACATTCTGAACAGAGATGCTGCTGCAAGACTCACAATTTCATCTCCTTTGGAAGCTCACAAAGCAAACACTCTCGTCTACCATGTGGTAGGAGTTGATGTTGGCTTTGAAAATCCTATGTTTGCCTGTCTTGAAATGGACTATGAGGTAAATTGATGAACATTACATACAAATTATATTATTTTTATTATGTTCCTAATTATCTGTTTCTTTGATAGGAAGCTGACAATGATCCTACAGGAGAAGCAGCTGCTAACACACAACAGACCCTTACCTTTTATGAACTGGATCTGGGCTTAAATCATGTTGTGCGTAAATACAGTGAGGCTTTAGAAGAGCATGGAAATTTCTTGATTACCGGTAAGAAATTATTTAAGCTTGAAACGATACAATCACAGACATGTTGTTGCATCTATTAATGTTAGTTTTAAAGAGTTTTTTTTTATTTTTTATGTGAAACTGTGTACATGAAGCACATTATTAATTACTGACATTGTGATTTGTTTTTGTTTACAGTTCCTGGTGGATCAGATGGTCCCAGTGGTGTCTTGATCTGCTCTGAAAATTACATAACATACAAAAACTTTGGCGATCAGCCTGATATCCGCTGCCCCATTCCACGGCGCAGGGTAAGGGGGGCATTTTTGAAAACATGTTGTAATAATAAAGTTTAACCTATTATTTAATAAAGTTAATGTATAACTAAAATGTAATTTTGCAGAACGACTTGGACGATCCTGAGCGGGGTATGATTTTTGTGTGCTCAGCCACTCACAAAACAAAGTCCATGTTCTTCTTTCTGGCACAAACTGAACAAGGAGACATTTTCAAAGTAACTTTAGAAACAGATGAGGAAATGGTAATATTAATAACAAAAATCATATTTACAACTAACAGGTTGTAGATTATGTTCATAATATTGTTTTTGGTTTCTTGTAGGTAACAGAAATCCGGCTGAAATACTTCGATACTATTCCAGTGGCAACAGCTATGTGCGTCTTAAAAACTGGATTTTTATTTGTTGCCTCAGAGTTTGGAAACCAGTAAGTCACCCGTATTTCATAAATTACATCTATTTACATTTCACATACTGGTATTTATATGTTTTTTTAGTTATCTTTATCAGATCGCTCACTTGGGCGATGATGATGATGAGCCTGAGTTTTCTTCGGCTATGCCATTAGAGGAGGGAGACACGTTCTTTTTCCAGCCTCGTCCTCTCAAGAACTTGGTGTTGGTTGATGAGCTGGAGAGTTTATCACCAATAATGTCATGCCAGGTTTGAGCCCTTCACAAATCTTGTGTGTGTGTCACATGATTTATAATATATACAACATCATTTCAGATTGCAGATTTGGCCAATGAAGACACGCCTCAGCTCTATGCAGCATGTGGAAGAGGGCCAAGGTCCACACTGAGAGTCCTCAGACATGGTTTGGAGGTGCGGCGACTTTATATTTCGTACAGAATTTTCTAAATGTCATGGGACAATTTTAAGTTCTAATCATACTATTTTTGCTCATCAGGTTTCAGAGATGGCTGTCTCCGAGCTTCCTGGTAACCCAAATGCTGTGTGGACTGTACGTAGACACGTGGAAGGTAATTTCAGTCGATGGTAGTAGATGTAATTCGTAAAGTACATTAAGGTAGTCTGACAATTGCTAAACTGCCTAATGTATTGTACAAATATTTCAATAAATGATATATAAAACATGTATTTTAAATGTAATTGCATTAAGTATTTTGTTTGTAGTAAGACTAAGCTTTATCAATGTAGTGTGTAGACATTTGTCAACTATGAATCAGAGATGCTGAAACTTAGTTTTTTTTTTTTTTTTTTTCTCAAGATGAGTTTGATGCTTACATCATTGTGTCCTTCGTAAATGCCACTTTGGTCCTGTCCATTGGAGAGACTGTTGAAGAAGTGACAGATTCCGGTTTCTTGGGCACCACACCAACACTGTCTTGTTCATTGCTTGGCGAGGATGCACTTGTTCAGGTGAGTTTGCCTTTACTGGTTTCAACTTGACACATTGGCATGACTTATTGGAGGAATACTTACCTTCAGGTTTACCCGGATGGAATTCGTCACATCAGAGCCGATAAACGTGTGAATGAGTGGAAAACGCCAGGTAAAAAGACAATAGTGCGCTGTGCTGTCAACCAAAGACAAGTGGTTATCGCCCTGACTGGAGGCGAGCTGGTCTACTTTGAGATGGATCCGGTGAGCATAAATACAGTAAAACCGAATTTTCGAGGACAAAATGGATCCATGCATTGCTGATGTTTTCCCTTTTAGTCTGGCCAACTGAATGAGTACACGGAGCGGAAGGAAATGTCTGCAGATGTTGTTTGTATGAGCCTCGCAAATGTTCCACCCGGTGAGCAGCGCTCCAGGTTCTTGGCTGTGGGTCTCGTTGACAACACTGTGCGGATTATCTCCTTGGATCCTTCGGTAAACTTGGAGCCTTTAAGAATTTATAAATGTGATTTGAGCTAAACAGTGAAATAACTTTGTCGTCTATATATTTAGGATTGTCTCCAGCCGTTGAGTATGCAGGCTCTGCCAGCTCAGCCTGAGAGTTTGTGTATTGTGGAAATGGGAGGAGTGGAGAAACAGGATGAGCTTGGAGAAAAAGGATCAATTGGTTTTCTTTACCTAAACATTGGGCTTCAGGTGACTTATTCAGCTTACTCATGCATATTCAAAAAAGATAAAATAGTGGTCGAGTTATCAAAGAAGTCAATAATATATATGGAGCTTATATTAATTTGCGGTATTGTTGTAAAAAGTGAATTAATACAGTTCAACACATGCCTGGCACATAAGTTTATTTAACTAAAGAAAATCCCCCTGTGTTCTCATGTACTCGTTTCCTTTCGTTGCATTTACTCTGCAAAAGTGGCACCACATGTCAATACAACTAAACACACTATCGATTATGTGAAGTTTGATTGTAGGCAGCAGTGGTTGTATTCACCATTCAGCAAACAGAATTTCCTCTGCACAGGCGAGCTGAATTCAACTTGTTGAGTCTGCATGAAGTTGTATCTGCATTAAACTTAAAATTGTTGTTTCCGCTATTTGAAGAAGTGCTTAAAACGCCTCACTTTTCAATGTATAGCAGGAAAAAAAAACTGAGGCAAAGTATATTTGGTGATTTTGAACTGGATTGGTTTGTAATAGATAAGGTCTGTGCAATAGTTCAGGAGAATAACACATGCATAAATCACTGCTCGTAGAAGGTACATGTCAAAACCATTTTTATTTTGACGTTTGAGATGCAGTTGCATCAGCACTTTTAATGTAACTATTTCATGTGTATCTTTTGTCTTTCTCAGAATGGAGTGCTTTTGAGAACCGTGTTGGACCCAGTCACTGGTGACCTCTCGGATACGAGAACACGTTATTTGGGATCACGACCGGTCAAACTTTTCAGAGTCAGAATGCAGGGACAAGAGGCGGTATGCATCTGTGTTTGATTTATAAAGTATTGTCTAGTAGTTATTATTGCTGTAGTAACTTAAATCGTTCCCCAGGTCCTGGCCATGTCGAGTCGCTCCTGGCTGAGTTACTCGTATCAGTCTCGCTTCCACCTAACCCCTCTGTCTTATGAGACGCTGGAGTATGCCTCTGGCTTTGCCTCAGAGCAGTGTCCTGAAGGCATTGTGGCCATTTCCACAAACACTCTCAGGTACAAGGGGTTTTTACTTTGTAATCCAGTCTTCTGTCTGTCTGTCTGTTGTTAAGAAAGCTTAAGAATATTCTTGTAGTCTTGTTAAAGGTGGGGTACCTACCTTTTTATTTAGTAATTATGAAGTTCAAGATAGAATCAGACAATAATATGCTTCATCAATATGTCTTTATCCCAAAATAAAACTTGTATACATGTAAGAAACAGCCTACTGTGAGTCACTATTTGATCAATTGAGCTGATTGGCTGAAAGAGTGTACTATGCATGTGAAAGCAAGTGATAGAACCAAACTGTTTGGAGAGCGAGGAACTAAGAAATTGTATTTCTGCGGTACATTGTTATATTTAGTAGTTTCAAACTTGAAAAAAGACTGAAAAAAACATTAGTCAAGATACACAATCTACTTCATGGTATTTGATTGTAGGATGTACAAAACAAGGAAAACATACATTATTGCTTGATACATGAGCAAATTTCGCTATCATTTACAGCAACTACAACCCTTTAATGAGGATGCCAGACTTTGCTGAGGCTGGGATACATATCAGTCACTCTAACCCTCTAAACTCTTGTCTCACGTTACAGCAATAAATCTGTTCAGGGAGAACCATAAATCATGTTTAAGAGAGTTTCTGAAGTAACTGTGATGGCCACACAGACAAACAAGATTTATCAGTGTTAATCCTATGAGACATCCTTTTTCCTCTGTCAATATTTATCTTGCAGGATTCTAGCATTGGAGAAGCTAGGTGCTGTCTTCAATCAAGTGGCCTTTCCCCTTCAGTACACCCCCAGAAAGTTTGTAATTCACCCGGAGACAAATAACCTTGTTTTGATAGAGACCGACCACAACGCCTACACAGAGGCGACCAAAGCTCAGAGAAAGCAGCAAATGGCGGAGGTATGTGTATTGCAATGGTTGTAAATTTGATCTTTGAACATAAAGCAGGAAGTGTAAATCTTTTCATCTCAGGCCTTCAAAAGTACCTTACTCAGTAAAAGGTTGTGTAGAAATGTATCTAAATAGTTAAATGTTTGTGTTTGACCTACTTTTGCTCCTTAATAGAAAGGAGAAAATAAAAGCATATCAGAGGTGCCTAAAGTGGGAATTCCTTTTTTGTTTTTAATTTGAATATATTTATTAAAAGGTCTACACACATGGCTGCAGTCACATTCATATGGCTTAATAAAGGCTTGTCCACTCCTTTTAGTCAGATTGGGACGCACAAACAGATGCATCATCATGTGTGAGTGTAGAGAGGTTCTTGGATGCTTGTAGCTCATGTGGGGAGATGGTGTCCCTCTCTCTGGATGTATAATGATAATGCATTGGTTTTATATAGCGCTTTTTTGGACACTCAAAGACGCTTCACATGTAATTATTTCACTTCATACACAGTGGTGATAAACTACTACTGTAGCCACAGCTGCCCTAGGGCACACTGACAGAAGTGAGGCAACCAGTATATGCCATCAGCCCCTCCGACCACCACCAACCATTCACACACACACCAGACTCATTCTAATGGGTGAAGTGTCTTGCCTAAGGAGACAACGGCAGATTGGCACATTACAGCCACAGCCGCCCCGCTGTGGCACATGGTGTTCGTGCCAAGGACACGACGACAGCAGACATCAAAGTCTTGTGGGCTTGAACCCACGACCTTCAGGCTCAAAGGCCAATGCTCTACCAACTGAACTGAGATGGTGACTGTGGACGAAGGCACAACTTGTGATCATTGTAGTATATCCGTATGCTAGTGGGTGTAATTGATCTAACCAATCTTTATGCAATATTAATGAAACGTGTTTTAGCCCAACTGTGGGACATAATATTTTTTGCATCCCTGAAAAATATAGTCTACAACTTTGATTACCAATTACCAATCACAGGCTCCTTTTGTGATAACTTGAGATACATTCTTCAATTCGTCAGATTTTTCCCCCAGGACAGGGTAAAAGTCTTAAAGACTTA